GAGGAGGAGGAGGAGGAGGAAGAAGAAGAAGAAGGAGGAGGAGGGGGAGGAGGAGGAGGAAGAAGAGGAGGAGTTGTTGCTGTTGTTGTTGTTGTCCACTATTAGTAAGAAGATACTAAAGGTTTGTTCCAACTAAAAAAAAAAAAAATTGATAAATACCCCCTTCCCTCCAGGCCGGTGGTATTCAGAGCAAAGTGATTCGCTCACAACACCACAGTACAACACTGAGGGGTCGGCTCGTGGCCGCGCGGGACGAGAGGAGGGCCTGCCGGAAGAGGGAACTCTCCGTCATGGACGCCACTGTTAAGGTAACCAAGGCAACAGAAGTCTTGCGTTTTGAGTTTGAGTTTGAAGAAAGAAAAGCACATCGAAACAATTACAGTCATTAAACCTCAAAAATTATTCAAGAGTTATAGTCATGAAATTTAAAGGGTAAGTGCACCATGCAATTCCAAATAAAACGACGCTAGTTTTTTCTAATTTTAAAAAAATTATATTTTCAATGATTTTTCTACTTTGCTATTTTTACTGTTTTTGTCATTCGCTACTATGCAAGTCTTCTAAAAGTAATACAATTATTAATATTTACAATTTCAAAAAAAAAAAGCAAGAGTAATTTTCCCAAGATTTGTGAGTAGATTGCATGGATGGCTTTTGAGTTTTGGGGTTTTGAAAATGGTCTTTTTGAAAGCCCTGTTGCAATTTAATATTACCATTTCCGAGATCATGTTACTGATAATGATTCCAAAAACTGAATATTTTAAATCCTTGAATGGAATACTTTGAGAAAATGAGAAAAAATAAAAATTTGAAACGACTGAATTGTAGATTTGAACTCAAAAGAAATAGTTTGGCCTTGATCAATATAACCGGGAAGGGGGGGGGGTTGCATAAGAAATTATTTTTCTTGTGTGTTCTAAATTGTTATTCTCATCAACCATGTCATCGATGTCCTGCGCTCACACTTTAGAGTTTTGAATTTTGCCCGGATGGCGGCCAAAGCCTACTCTTATCGATTTTAGACCACCAAGAGATCTTTAACGTGCGCAACTTGCACGCGGGACCTCCGAGATTTTCGCCCTTCTCCGAGAAGGCTAGGTGTAGATCTTTCCTACTGGAAGATCAGTGGTCTGAAGCCCAGAGGAGGAAAATGGAAACGGAAGCAGACTTTTGAACATTGGTAGAGAGCAGGAAAGGAGGTGAAATGAGACAATTTTAGAGAAGAAAATGTTTCCTTCGCTTCTCGGATTCGAGCCCGGGACCTTTGAATGAGAGGCGAACACCTTGACCTCTAGGCCACAAGAGCCCCCATTCATCGTGTGAAACTGATTTGTGTCTAGAACGGTCCAAAAACCGAGGTATTTTTAAAACTTTTTAAAAAATAAATCTGGTGGCTGGCTGCATGTGCATGTGAACAAGACGTTCGGAAATAAGGCCCTTGATCAGTGCAGTCTTGAGTATCTGGCCCACAGTGCCCTTGATACTAAAATCTATACGGGTTGAAACGGCAAAACTCCACCGCTTAAAAGGGTTACTGTACATTTATGATTGCAGGATACGTTAAGGGGGTTATTCTAAGGTCTTTGGGCCATGACCGTTCTGAATAAATTACTTGTAAACGTGACGCGTATTCACCCTTTTGCCTCTGGAAGCATAAAGGGGCCATAATTGATTGAACGATCCAAACGTGCATACTTTACTTTCAATCTCTCGAGGAGATTGGAATTCTTTGGTAATGTTCAAAGATAAAATTACATATAGCAGTGGCAAATAATAATAGTTATAATAGTAATATTACTATGACAGGCCTATAATGAAATGTAACATAATATAATATTGATAATATAATATTAGAAAATAATATGATATAATCATGTTATCAAATAAGCCTTTAAAATCACATTTATTTGCCAGGACATGTTTCCAGTTTTCTCATGGTTTGATCAATGCTATATATGTAAGTAAACTGTAGAGAGAGGGGTTAGGAATTCGGAGAGATTTAAGAGAGCGAATGAGAGAGAGAGAGAGAGAGAGAGAGAGAGAGAGAGAGAGA